ATATATATATACATATATATATATTTAAAATTATCGAAGATATTTCTTGATATTTCGATAAAAAATGACGATTTAGGATTCATGAATTTATTATCGATGCAATTAATGAAAACGTTTGTATAAAACGTGAATCGTGAAATTATAATTTTATAGTAAACGTTAAAAATTATTATTGGAAATTAATATTTTATCTGTTTAAACTCGCATTGATTATTTTTTGATAATGAAATTGGAAATGTGAGAGCATTTATTCACAAGTTATTCATAAATAAAAATAATTTTAGAAAAAATACGTTTGTATAATTATACACATTAAAATACGAAACACTTTATTACACGTTAAATAGTTTACTTACTTCGCTAGAAAACATATTTAAACATAGTTATATTTTACGTTATTTTCAACGTAATATCGTATTTATTTATTCATGTAATAATTCTGTCAATTCTGTTGCATAATCCACAAATCACATCATAATGGTTGGTTCGATAAAAGAAAAGGTTTTCAGTTTCAGTTTTATCGTTACCATTTTTATCATTATGGTTTTAAAATGATACTCTTGAATAAAAAAAAAAAAAATAAAGAAAAAAAGAAAGAAAACAACATCTGAGAAAATTGAGCCAGAGATTATTTTTCTACCGATAATATCTATCAGTTATGTTATTGGTTGTTTTACCAGAGTCCCTCTTCGACATTAAATAAAACCAATACTGTGTAAAAAGATCCGAAAGTTTCGACCACAGCCGTCAAATTTTTCCGTCGAAAATAGCCGGACACACTTTTAACCTATTCGACCATCGAATCCCATCGAATTTTTTGCGCGTTCGTATTTTCATAAATGCGAGGAGAAAACTTATTTCGTTGCCTCTTTCGATCCACCATTTCGTTTGATGCAATGAAAAAGTTAGAATTATATATAAACCATTCAGCTTTAATTCATTTTATATTTTCCCTGAAAATATTTATTTATTTAAATATTATTCGTATTTTATTCTCGTTTGAAATAAAAAAAAAAATTATATTTTATTACATATATACATATATATAAATGAAAAATCATCGGATACGTAGGTACAAATTACGGAACAGAGTTCCAATCAAACAATTCTCCTTACAGTAATAAAGTGTCGGATAAATTCAGTATGGTAGGAGCCAAGTGAAGCCAAGATTGCGTTTTCTTTTTCCATTTTCACCGACTTTTCACAGTGGTTTAATTCTCGAACCAGTCTTGTTCCACTTGCCAGGATCGATGTGATCGCTTTGCGAAACCGACCACGATTCATCACCGAGTCCCTATGAACGTTACTCATCCCCTCGTCGAAAAGCACCCAGGGGACACGTGCACCGATGTGCGCGCATTATTTATTTCGAGCCATTGCTTGTTACTCGGCTAGGAACTTTTTAGTTGACAGCGACAGCGGTGCCATCTTCGTCAGTCTTCTCTAGTGGCCTAGAGGGAGTTGAAATCTGTCTCGCCGGTTTCTCCATACTGGAAAATTTTAACGCGTATTGAAATTAAAGTGTTCTTTTTAAACGAACACTTATGTGACGATATTATTTTTTTTTTCTTTGGTATTAATTAATTAATTATTATTATTATATTATATTATTATAATTATATTATTATATTATATTATTATATTATTATAATAATTATTATTAAGTTTTATTTAAATAAAAATGGCGAGGAAAATTTTTATGCGAGTTTATATCGTAAAAGAAAGAAATAGAAAGAGAAAATTTTTTTGAATTTGTTAATACATAAATAGCATACCTTTGGATGGTCGATTTTGGAGAATAAGAGAGATACAAAAATATATAAAAATAAAAATAAAAATTTAAGTAAAATTTAAATGTACTAAGATTCATTATGATCCAAAGAATTATAAAATATTTAAAGTATAATACGAATCGTAATATTTGAGGAATGAAGAAAGTGTTTATTTTATTTTATTCATAGCCTTATTTTATTCATAGTTTTATTTATAAAAATTTTATTTTGTACAAATAATCTAGTAAGAAATTTAAAATGAAGCGAGACAGAGATAGAAGCAGTCTAACGAAGATAGAATATCACTCTATCTCGCTTTGTCTAAGTAAAATTCAATTGCTCATAATCTAATAAATAAGACTCAATCGAAATTATTATATATCAATTCTTGTTTTATTTTGGCTTCTAGAATCGATCCTCCACAAATATAATAATATACTTAGTTATGTAATACAAAGATTTTTCTTACCTTTCGTTTCAATCTTTTTATAATTTAATTTTTCTCTATATCTCTTCTATTTTAATTAAATTCGAAATACATATTCCATTCGAATAATTCGTTCAAATTGGGTGGCTCACTTATAGTACGATGTTATTCATATGTTGATTAAGTGAAAGTAGTACTTTGTGGTACTTTACAAGTTTGAATTGCTCTTGAGAAAAGTTTCGTTGAGCTCTTTTGGAGAGTGGTTTTGTTTCCTTGTCGTTGTGCCGTGATTAATATGATACGAGTTTCACCACTGACAGAATCTCATTATTAATCATAAGACAAGTTGAATTTTTTTTTTTTAAATCACTTTGATGGTTATTTATACGATGGTTATTTGAATACGAATTCAACCGTTGTATAATTTAATTTACAATATAATTAAAATTTATAAATTTTCCAACGAAAAGATAAAGTAAATTTTACAAATTAATTAATTATTGAATTTACTTTGAAAATCTTTTGAATTTCGAATATTCATACAATTTATGATATATATCGAATTTATATATATTAATGATATTAGTACTCTTGAAATTATTTCGTTTAAAAAATTTGCAAGAAATTTGATTTTGGAAAATTTGGAAGATTTTATTGCGTTATGAAGACGCGTTGCGTCACGCTCTTCGAATCGAAACGCGTAGATCCAATTTTTAATCTCGATTTTAATTTTCACCCAACTACTCTCTCGCCTCTCTAAGCATTATTTGAAATTCTTTGAAATGAAACTTTCATATGTATGAATGAAATACACGTGAAAAATATGTTAAAATGTTTTTTGCCAAACATTCTTTTTAAATTCTTTTTACTTCTTATTTTCGATAAATCCAATTTTTTTCGCTCGTTTCTCTGAAATCGATCTTCAAAAATATTTTACCAACAAGTATAAAATACTCTATATAAAAACCAATAAAAATAAAATTTAATCCATCTCCATTCTATATCCCTTTGCGCTCCGGGCCTTTTTCGAAACCAACAACTCCACACGATTTCGTTCGGTGAATTTTTTACAGCTAACTTAAAATGATTTCACGCACAAATTAACGTACAAAACTTTTATATTTTAATATTCTATGCATTCTTTATGTATAAAGGAAGAAGATATTAAAGTCTATATTGTCGTTCTGTGCGATATTTTAATAATAAAACAATTGCCAAGATGCATCCTCGGTTCGTCAGGGCAAGTATCACTGTACAATTTTTTTATTTCGTTGAGAAGAAATCTTACGATCTCAATAACGTGTCCTCGTTCACATTCGCACGTTCTATTATTTTTATTTTTCATCTTCTCTCGTTACATCTCTATTTTCATTTTATTTACTTTACTTTTCTCTCCTCTATTGTCAATTCTCAACGAATGGAAGTGATTACGTTATTCAATAATTCAAAAATCAAACTCTTCGCTAATCTCATTATTCTTTACAAAACTCGACGGTATATTATTCTACTTACTTCATAAGATTATACGCGAAGAGAAATCTATTCATGAAGCGATATTCTAAAAAAATTAAACGCAAATAAATATTGTCACCGTTCGAAATTGCCGCCTCGAGCCGAGTGGCGCCATTGGAGCGCAAAGGAATATGCGCAGTGGATAACGAGAGTATTCGAACGCTTATAATTTTTGACGAACGAAATATAGTATATGTTAAAGGAAATATATTTAAGACAATCTTATGTCAGCAAAATTTGAAATGCAGTAGTTATAATATATTTATTAAAAATACATGCGCTATTAATAAGGTTAGAAAAGGATTCGAACGTTTCATATATTATTTAACATTAATATTTTGTCTCGGATATTTTTTGGATTAATGATTTTGTAAAATTACAATCGATGGAATTCCATATTTTTCTATAATTTTTTCTTTAAACATCTGCTTTGTAGATATTCGAAATTTATCTAATCCTTTTCCTATTTCAGCCTATTAAAAATTTTTATAATATATAGAGAAAAATATATATTCTCTCTAATTAATTTATTCAATTCGACGAAGCGATAAAAAAAATTTTTTATTTGGATAAATCGCGCACGTGCGTGCAGTTTTTAAGAGGAAATTATAGGAAAATATACGGGTTATAACGGGAGAGGAGGAGGGGGAGGGGGCAGATAATCGAATTCCCCGCTTTAACAACTAGTTTCTAGTTTGCCAGAAACCCGGCATATCGAAATTAGCTGACGTTGGCATGCAGCTGGTTATACTTGGCCATCAAAAATTATCGAAATTGATTACCTTGACACGTTAATGAGTCGAAGAAAGTGGATATTTACTTTGAAGGTCGTTCGACCCGAAAGTAAAAACGTGACTCATTGAATGCCAAGTATATCTATTTATAACAATAGTCTTGGCTTATCTCCGTTAAACGATCGAGGTGTCGAGCGATGAAAGACTCGATTTCGTGTTCCCTTTTCTTTTTTTTTCTTCTTCTTCTTCTTCGAATTTCGACGTTCCTCGATAATATTTCGAATCGATTCGAATCATCACGTTTTCAACGGGAAAAATTTGATTCACGTCTTCTCACGGTGGAGAAGAGTTTGGAAGATTTCAAAGATTCTTTTTTTTTTTTTTTTTTAATCTAAAGGGAAAGACGTTGGAAAGTCACGTTTTTTTTTTTTTTCAACACTTGGATAATTTTCTGAAAAGTTGGCCGATTAAAAATTTGCTCGCATTAAACACGAAAGAGAGATTTCTCTGTGCGCGAAACTTTCCCCGCTCCAGCTTCTTGAAATTCTTTCCCATCTCGGAAGAGATTAAGAGCGAGAAGGAAGGAAAAGAGAAGAAAAGGAAAAAAAGAAAAAAAAAAAGATAGGAAGGTGATCGAGGCGCGGCTGTAAAAGGGTATTTATCGTTTTACAAATTTTCTTTGCTAACTTTCACCATTAATATTAGATGTCTATCATCTGTTCGTCTCTCTCTCTCCCTCCTTTCCTCTCCTTCTCTCTCTCCCTCCTTTCCTCTCCTTCTCTCTCTCCCTCCTTTCCTCTCCTTCTCTCTCTTTCTCTCTCTCTCTCTCTTCTTTTTCTTATCTTAAACGTTGCTACTTTTCACCCGCTACTTCACTTGGCCAATTATGTGTAATTTATGGGCTGTTTGATGCAAGAAAAAAAACTTGTAGAAGAGTTGCGGGAAAATTAAAAGGATCGAGGAAAGTTTGAATAAAGTTGGGATAAAGATAAATTTATATCTTTGTGAAAAATAAGTAAAATCAATAAAAATAAGTTCATTCAGAGAAAGTTGTTATTCTATATTAATTATTAATCGTATATGAACAACAGATTGATTTTTTTATCATATTGGTATAAACGTATTGATCTTAAAATTAAAATAAATACATTGATAATAATTAAAAAAATATATTTGTATAATATTTTATAAATTATTCGACGCCAAAATTATTCATCCATAAAGTGCTTCGAATAAGCAGAATATCATTAAATAAGAATATCATTAAATAAAGAAATTTTTTTACCAAAAATAATAATAATAAATAAATAAATAACATTAAATATAAATTTAAATTTATCATTTCTATTAAATATCAACTTATACCAATCGATTCAATAAATATAATATAAAATATATGATATTGGTAAAAAAAAACTATTGTATAAAATATTAGATAAAATTCTCGATCAATCATCGATTTTTTATTATATACAAAAAATTAAATAATAATAATCAAAAATAAATAATAATAAAAATTAAATAATAATCCATGATCACGTGTTAAATCTGATCACTTTAAATTTTAAAACGAGAGAAATATAGGAAAAAGAGTTTCGAAAAATTGGAACAATATAAATTTCCAAACCAATAAAAGACCGAAAGCAAGATCAAACAGGTGACGAATATGATTGTTTAGCGATTTATCAATCACGGTTTTTCCAATCTTTCGCTCGAATTTCCATTTCCATTTGGCAAAACTTATCGCTTGAGCCCAATAATGGCCTTTCATCTTGGTCACATCCTTTGCAAAAAGGCAAAAAACGTCGGGATATCGGTTAAAAACCGTATTTTAAATTCCGGAAATGCACAGAGAAAAAAAAAAGGAAAAAGAAAAAGAAAAAGAAAAAAGTAGCAGGAACGTTGAAAGGCAAAAAATGTGACTTAAAAAGAACGATGCAACTATGGTTGTAATTTCGACATGTGCAACTACTACATAGCATCACTAGAAGTCAATATTTTAAAGGATCTC